TCAAAAATAGAAGTCACATGTTATTGGCTGAAACAAGTCACATGGCCACATTTAATTTCAAGGGCACAAGGAAGTTAAATCCTCTCATGCCCCTGAGTGGGGAAATTGTGAACCTCTGTAATGACTATCTCTATAGAGTTCTGGTAGCATAGTGCCTAAAGTACTTGACTGCTAACAAGAAGGCTGGCAGTTCAAACCCACCAGCCACTCCTCGGAAGGAAGGTTGGGCAATCTACTTCCATAGTGATAATGCCTTGGAAACCCAAAGAGGGATCACTATCAGTCGGGTCCGACTCGATGACAAACAACAACATAGTTAAGAAAATTTTCCCAAAGTCACACAGCTGGTTGTACAGAGCAAGGATCCAGGTGAGCATTATTTGAAAATAAAACACACACACACCTTCCACATTCAGATGTGCCCTGATCTTCATGAAATCATTATCCAGAAGATGGTTCTTCTTAGCTGAAAGGGAACTTCAGACATTGACAAGTAAAAAAGTTTGACCTTCAATTAAATTTAAACTTGTGAAAATGTGTGTCTTTTCTCTCTCTTCTTACAATGACCTGTTTCTTAAAAAAAGAAAGAAAGAAAGAAAATAAACAAAAAAGAGGCCTTTTGGCCCACCCTTGACCTGTGCTACATATCTGATTGCATGTCAAGGGTGATGTGGTATCTTTCCCACTGTGTGGTATTTTCCACTCATAGGACCAGGGCAGGAGAAGTTTGTATCTTAATCTGCACGCTTGTTCTTGCTCATGTTTGTTCTCTGCTTGATCTCATACCCTTCATTCATCCTTTGGAATGTTCCCATGACAACAGAAGAATGGTAATATAGCCAGCCAGACAAAAGGGACGGACCAAGTACACAGCCCCACTTCTCTCCAACTTAAAAGTTTTAAGAGGGAAGGAGAGGGCATGAGGGCACTTTCTATCCATTTCCCCACTCTGGAGAAGTCAGCACTGAGTGTTTACTTCTGCTCTGCAGCTGTGGAAACTGAGGCTCAGAGGAGTACAGTGATTGCTCAAGGTCACATCGCTGGAATCTGAGGAAAGCTGTTATTTTTCTGAATCGTAGTTTAGTTTTCTGTCTGCTCCACCCTGCAACCTGCTATCTAACCCCTGTGAAACCTGCCCCTAATTACACCACGGGATGCAGGAGTAACTCTCCCTTGTCTCATGACTTCCTGCTTCACACTGGCTTATTCTCTGATAGGTACAAAACAGTTGTGGTCCTTTATAATAATGAGATATAAGAGATGAGCCAGTAGCCTTATTGCTTAGGTGGTCAGGGTCCTGATATTTAAAAGAAATGCTTCTCAGGGAGGATGAGCTTAGGAAGAAGCTGGTGAGAAACACTGACCCTATAGCTTCTGGATTGACCCCTAATTCAAGAAGGGGGATAGGACCTTAAATATCTATGTTGCAAAGTGTCCTGGCTTTGACAGAAGTGGAATTTTCAGGCAGGGCCATGCAGCATAACACCAGGCTGAATTCATGGCTGTTGGTGTGTGTTGAGTTGATTTTACTCATAGTGACCCCATTTGACAGCATAGAACTGCTCCACAGGGTCTTCTTGGCTATAATATGTATGGAAGCAGATTGCCAGGTCTTTCTCCAATGGAGCCACTGGGTGGGTTTGAACTGCCAACTTTTGTTTAGCCGCTGAACTCTTTACCATTTGTTCCACCAAGGCTCTTTGAATTCATGGCAGTCATCACTAACTGATCACAGCACTCATAGAATTCATGCACCATTTCACCATGTTAAGGCAGGTAGCACCGACCTGTTGAAAGTTGAAATTGGCAACTGAGATAAAATCTGCCTGTCAGCCAGTGCTGGAGGGTGTCATGATAAAGTTAAGGAAAACTCCAGAAAAGAAAATGGAGGTAAGTTCTTTGCAGCCACCATTGGGGACCTGCCTCTGTCCCCAGAATCACCCATGTGTCTGACAGAAGAAAAAATAGATTTCTAAAACCAGAGGAAATGCTGGCTGTCTGATTGTGGAACCTGTGATCTTGTCTTCAGCTGAGGTCAAGATTCTTAGGAATATAGGACACCCCCCACCCCACCCCCGCAGGGATCATTCACACAGGCTTTCTCTAGTCCTACCTGAATAAATGAACATAAGCAACTGTGTTAATAAGTCCTAATGATTCGAGACATGAGGTGTGGGGAGTTTTCTCTTAAAGCTGGGGTGTGGTACTGGAGTCTTGTGGGACCTACATTATGGAGGATGGAAAAAGCTATTTCAAATGCAACTTGAAATTTAAAAAAAAAAAAAGGAAATCACATACTTCTCTGTGTATGTCATCTTTTCCCAGATGGATCCAAAATGAGCCACATAATTTCCTTGTAACACAGTTTCTGGGCGAATCATAGATCTGAGAGCTGGTAAGGACCTCAAGAGTTAGTGTGCTTCAGGTGGAGTGGGGGGGAGCTCAGGGGTAGAGCATGTGCTTTGCATGTATGAGTTCGTGTGAGTTCACCTCTGTTTCTTCCAGCAGGTATAATAATGTTCTTCCCATTTGATAAAGGAGGTGACTACAGTTCCAAGTATTTTTACAGCAGCATGAAGAGAGGGTGATTCTGGTAGAGTGGTTGGGGAACTGCCTTCTTTTGCTACCAAACTGCTTCTCATAAGTAAAAGTTTCCACCATCATGGAGAGAGATGAAATAGGATGCACTAAAGGAAAGTAGATAGATGGATGGATGAATGGATAGATAGATATAGCTGCCATTGAGTGGACTCTGACTCAGAGAAATCTTATGCACAAGAGAATGAATATTGCCTGGTCTGATGTCATTCTCGCAATCACCAGAATGTTCAAGTCCATCATGTGGCTGCTGTGCCAATCCATGTCACCAAGGATCTCCCATGCCCTTGCTGGCCCTCTACTTCATCACACATGTTGCCAATCTGTAGTAAGATCCCACCTGATGATATATCCAAAGTAAGCAAGTTGGACAATATTCTGTTATGATCCACAGTGTTTTCACTGGCTAATTTTCAGAAGTCAATCGCCAGGCCTTTCTTCCTACTCTGTCTTAATCTGGAAGTTCTGCTGAAACCTGTCCACCATGGGTGACCCTGCTGGTATTTGAAACACTAGTGCCAAAGCTTCTAGCACAACAGCAACACATAAGCCACCAACGTACAACAAACTGACAGATGGGTGGTGGTAAAAGAAAGTAGGACCCATGAAAAACTTGGCAGCAAAGTCCAGTGAGATGTTTCAATTGACACTCAGTAGGTGTCCATCATACTGGCAAGATGAAGATGAGCAAAGCAAGGTGATGCAATGAACTTGGAGACCATTTCACTTTACAGTTGGTAGTGCCATTGCTTTATACACAAGCCACATCTGACCAGCACCCATGGAATATGTGGTATCCCTGAGATTTTATAAAAACAAATTCATTCAATGAGAAAGCTAGTCTGCTAAAGAAGGAAAATTGTCAATGAAGCCAAAGTGACAACAATTTCAGATACAATGTAAGCTGATTAGCTTCAAACAGAGAGCCTGCTTCCTGTGCCAAGACCTCTAGACCTCACTGGCCGTCTTGGAGATTTGCAGTACTGGTCACAAGAGGTACCAGGCGGTGGTGTGCACAATGGGTAAAGGACAAGGCCTTATTAGGAGAGTCTCCCAGGAAGCAGGGGAAGGCAAATACAGGGCATTCCTTTAGAATGATGGATTTGTTTCATTTTGCATTTATTTTTTTTCATTACAAAAGAATTGTGGAATGATGTTTTTGCATTACTTTTTTTTTTTTTTTTAATAACAAAGGAGGGTTTCTTTTCCTTTCCTCCCTTTGGAAAAACACAAATTTGATTATGTCAGCCTCTGCTTAAATCCCCTCAGATGATTCCTCTTGCTCATTTGATAATGACCCAACTCACGAAATGTCCATCAGCATCACTGAAAGTCAGCAGATTTGCACGGGGCCAATTTCCCAATGTGTAAGAAATTATATACTCTGTGTTGGTTGGTTAATAGATACTACTCAAACTTATTGAGTGCTCCCTACTTCTGCCCTGTGACCTCTATACCTCCCTAAAGCGAGCATCTGGGACAGTAGGGTTCTGGGACCCAGTGCCAGCTAGTGTTTGCTCTGATGGGACAAGTTAATGTTGTTAACAATTGTTCACCATGCCTATGGAGAAGGCATAAGTCCCTGGGTGGCACAAATGGTTAAGTGCTTGACTACCAGCCAAGAGGTTGGTGGTTAGAGCCACCCAGAGAAGCCTCGGAAGAAAGGCCTGGCAATCTGGTTTTGAAAGGTCACAGCCTTGACAACTCTATGGAGCAGTTCTATTCTGTACGGATGGGCTTGCCATGAGTCAGAATAAACTCAAATGCAACTAACAACAATGACAAAGAAGGCTCTGCAGAATTGAGCCCAGCCCATCCTTCCTTCTTTAGATACTTTCTGGTATTTTCTCTCTCAGATTTTGAGCCCTGGCCATGTAGCTCTTCTTTCAGCTCCTTGAGTGTGTTATACTTCCCTCAGTGCCATTGCAAGTGAGCTTCCTTCTGTCTAGAATGGTCTCTTCCACCCTGTCCCCCTTTACTTTGGTTACCTTTCTCATTCTCCTTTCAATCATTCATAGCCAGCTTCAATACATACAGGTTGAAAAGGTGAACGAATGAATGACTCCATCATGTTTGGCACTTGCAAATGGAATTGTTCAGCAGATATCAGTTGTCTTCACCTAGTTAATCATCACTGGAAGGAGAAGGGGAGTCTGTAAGTTGGAGGCCACGAAGACTGCCTCCTTTCTTGCTCAGCTTTGCTACCCCTGGAGAGAGGTAGCTTCAGACCTGGGTGAAGCCTCTTTGCTGTGAGTATCATCACTTGCAAAGAGGATAAAGGGAAATAACCTGAATGTTTGGAATTCCAAAAGTTGTCTTGTACCGGGTAACATGAAGTTTCCTATCTCCTCTGCCCAGACATAGGGGTGAGAAAGGAAGTAAAACTTGGAAGGGGGTGAGAATTAGATAAACCAAAATGTAGCCTGAAAACTCTCCGATACTTCATGGGAAAGCCTGATATTCTGTCTACAAACAAGGTTGCTTATGTCCCCGGAGCTTGGGGCTATAGATATTCTCTTGCATACTGAGGTGGACTGTGGATTCTAGGTCAAGTGGGGAGCCTAGAGGGCGTGTAAAGTCAGGATCCCTGTAGAAGGAAGAAGAACTGCGTTAAGGAGTTCAAGCAAGAAAGGAAGGCGTTTTAAGACTTACCCTTCATTAGTTAGAAACAGTTTTCAACAGCAGGAAAAAGTTCCCAAGTTCTCGAAGATTTTTTGTTATTATTATTTTAATCACACTGTCCTCATTGGCTGATTATCCTCAGTTGAGCACAAGCTTGCCTTGGCTTTGCAATCTGTATAAGTTTGCTGTTGCGTGCTTTCAAATGGATTCTAACTCATAGAAATCTCACGTGACAGAGGAGAACTTCTCTATGGTTTTTTTTTTTTTTTTTTTTTTTTTTTTTTTTTTTTTTTTTTGCTGTAATCTTCACAGAAATACCAGAAAGATGTTTACTTGTATTTTATTGACTATGCAAAGGCATTTGATTGTGTGGATCATGACAAACTGTCGATAACATTGAGAAGAATGGGAATTCTAGAACACTTAATTGTACTCATGAGGAACCTGTGCACAGACCAGGAGGCTGTCATTTGAACAGAACAAGGGGACACTACATGGTTTAAAATCAAGAAGGAAGTGTGTCAGGATTGTATCCTTTCTCCATACTTATTCAATCTATATGCTGAGCAAATAATCCAAGAAGCTGAACTATATGAAGAAAAATGTGGCATCAAGATTGGAGGAAGATGCATTAACAACCTGCGATATGGTGACGACACAACTTTGCTTACTGAAAGTGAGGGTGACTTGAGGCACTTACTGATGAAGATTGAAGAATACAGTCTGCAGTATGGATTACATCTCAAAGAAAACAAAAATCCTCACAACTGGACCTATAAGCATCATCATGATAAATGGAGAAAAGATTGAAGTTGTCAAATACTTCACATTGCTTGGTTCTACAACTGAGGCCAATGGAAGCAGCAATCAGGATATTTGATGATGTATAGCACTGGGCAAGTTGGCTGCAAAGGACCTCTTTCAGGTGCTGAGGAGCAAAGACGTCTCCTTGAGGACTAAGGTGTGCCTGACACAAGCCATGATATTTTTAATCACCTCATATGCATGTGAGAGCTGGACAATGAATGAGGAAGACCGAAGAAGAAATGATGCTTTTGAGTTGTGGTGCTGGTGAAGAATGCTGAAAGTACTGTGGACTGCTAAAAGAACTAACAGATCTGTCCTGGAAGAAGTGCAACTGAAATGCTCCTTGGAAGCAAGAATGGCCAGACTTCATCTCACTACTTTGGTCATGTTATCAGCAGGGACCATTCCCTGGAGAAGGATGTCATACTTGGTAAGGTAGATGGTCGACAAAAGAGGGGAAGGCCCTCAACAAGATGGATTGACACAGTGGTTACGACAATGGGCTCAAATATAGCAAGGATCATGGAGCTGGGGACGGGACCGGGTGGTGTTTCATTTTGCTGTGCATAGGGTCACTATGAGTCAGACATGACTCGATGGCACCTAACAACAAACAACAACAATCTTCACAGAAGTAGATTTCCAAGTCTTTCTCCCATTGAGTCATTGAGTGGGTTCAAACCACCAACCTGTCAGTTTTGCCCTAAGAAAATGAACAGAACAATTCTGTAAGCATGGCGATGGGCCCTGCCTGGTACCTGTGCTGGAGCCCAAAGTTAAGTGTTTGAATACAAGTCTGTTTTCCTTCCACTTTCCTTTCCTGGTGGGACACAACCCCCTGAAATGACATTATGATGGAAAAATGAGTGTCAAGAGCTTAGAGCACTAATTTTTAAGGTGTAATTTCTGGAACTCTAGCCCCATGAAATGTTCTGTTAGTAAAAGAATTCATGGTCAAATAAATGTGGGAAGTACTGAATCATTTATCCCCTTTCAGGAGACCACAGTGCTTATTAGAAAAGCAAACAGGCTGTTTAACTCATAAGAGTTTCTCTGAGAAAGTACACTGATTATTCATCAAAACTGATCCAACTGACTTGGATTGGATCTTTAGAACTGATTCTGACCTGCTTTAAATGTGGTCAAGTGGTTTTGATTGTATCTTGCTTATCTGTCACAGAACATTGTCTTTAAAGTCAAGTTATATGTAAAACCTGCCTCAGTTTAAGCAGTGATACTTACATTTTGCATAAGCATCAGTGAATATTATATAGTCCACACAGTTTGTTCACACTTTGCTCTTACTCTAGTTCCATATGCTCTGAAATCTCAGGAAGTTGTTTCAGCAGCATGACATTCAATTCTCAAACATTTTAGGGTGGCGTAGTGCCTAAGGTATTTGACTACTAACCAGAAGGCAGGCGGTTCAAACTCACCAGCCACTCCTCAGAAGGAAGGTTGGGCAATCTACTTCCGTAGTGATACAACCTCGGAAACCCAAGAAGCGGTCACTATGAGTCAGATCCGACTTCACATTCATTTCATTACCATGTGCAAGTACTGTGTCCCAGGCTGCGGATCCACTGAGGAATGTCTAAAGTCTCAGAGAATGTCACTCTACGCAGAGGGCAGACATAGCGAGATAGGGTGGTAGATGTCTACTGTAGGGTGAACATATAATTTAATGAGGTCATTAGAGTGAAGGGGGCACTATTAATATTCACACTACAAGAAAAGGTACAAACTAGGACCATCCTATGTATGCAGAACTGACACATGACACAGGGGTGATGATTTTTGTCATTTTGGAAACTACCTCTAGGGCTGATGGGTGGTAGTGACAGGGAAAAAAGTTTTAGTTCGAAATTGAAAGGAACTTTCTAACAGACAGCTCCCAGTAACAGTATGCATTACTTTATGAGGCAATGAGCACCTCATCACTGAAGATATGCAAGACAGTGATTAACAATCCACGCTACAAAATGTTGTATATAGATGGTAGTCAGAGGCCAGGGCTAGATGACTGTTGTTTTCTGACTGTGACCTAAAGTACCTCCTCTTTTTTGCCCTAATTGCATTGGTGTAGTGCGTAAGGCATTTGACTGCTAACCAGAAAGGCTGACAGTTCAAACCCACCAGCCACTCCTCAAAAAGAAGATTGGGCAATCTACTTGTGTAGAGATACTGCCTCAGAACTCAAGGAGGGGTCACTATGAGTCAGATCTGACTCGACAGCAGTGAGTTTGGTTTTGGTTTTATTGCAGACAAAGATCTCCTACATAGGGACCAAATCCTGCCAATTTGACTCATGCATACATACACACTTGGGTAAATGCAGAAAAGTAACAAGATGTAAAGGTTAAAAGTTTGCTGTAAATGGTATAATTAATATTCATTGATGCTTATATAAGAGGAGCCTGGGTGGCACAGTAGTAGATTTCCAGGTGGTTAAGTGATTGGCTGCTAACTGGAAGGTTAGTAGTTTGAACCTACCAGCTGCTCTGTGCAAGAATGATTGACAGTTTGCTTCTGTAAAGATCATTGTTGTTGCTGTTGTTATGTGGCATTGAGTTGGACCTGACTCATCGTGACCCCTCCTCGGGTTTCCGAGGCAGTATCTCTATGGAAGTAGATTGCCCAGTCTTCCTTCCGAGGAGTGGCTGGTGGGTTTGAGCTGCCAGCTTTCTGGTTAGCAGTCAAGTGTCTTAGGCACTAGGCTACCAGAAATGATAACCTTGGAAACCCTAAGGGACAGTTCTACTCTGTCCTACAGGGTCACTATGAGTTGGAATTGACTGGACAACGATGAGATTTTGGTTCTTTTTGATGCTTATACATAATGTAAATATCTCTATTTAAAATGAGATTAGATTTCACAGTATATCTTAAAAGAGAATGTTCTGTGACATATAGGCAAAATATGATCAAAACAATTTGATCATGCTTGATGTGAATCAGAATGAATTCTAAAGAGCCAGCCTAAGTCATTTGGACAGTACTTTACCTTAGCAGTTGCTGTAGAGTCTATTTTGACAGATAGAACTGTGCTGCAAAGTCTTTTCAAAGGCTGAGTGTTTGGAAGAAGATCACCAGGCCTTTCTTCCAAGGCATTTCTGGTTGAGTTTGAACCTTCAACCTTTCAATTAGCAGCCAACTATGTTAACCTTTTGCCCCACTTGCTTGGATCAAGTGTGATCAATAATCATTGTACTTCGGTTATATAAAGGGTTAACATTAAAAAAAGATGTGTAAAAGATATAAAAGGATATACTATGGTAGCATAGTGGCTAAGGCACTTGACTGCTAACCAGAAGGCTGGCGGTTCAAATCCACCAGCCACTCCTTGGAAGGAAGATGGGGCAATCTACTTCTGTAGTGATACTGCCTCGGAAACCCAAGGAGGGGTTGCTATGAATCGGGTCTGACTCGATGGCACATAACAACAACAACAACATTTTTATAACTTATCTAAAATCAGTTCAAAATAAAAAGTTCTAAAAAAAAAACCCAATAATTTCATATTCTTTGCTGCCTAACCCTATTCATATCACACCCTGCCTGACATAGTCCCCTTATCCTTTAAGACTCAGTTCAGACAGAACATTCTACAGGAAGTCACCCAGATTTCCCTATCTTGAGGTAGGTCCCACTCCAATGAGTAGCCAAACACTTCTGCATATCTCCCCAGCTATACCTCCAGCTACTAGTGTGGTTTTCCTCATTTCACTTTTACCTCCTTGCTCCAAGGCCTTGGCACTCAATACATGTCTCTTCAATGAATTAATAAATCAATCCAATTTGAACAAGGTCTGTCAGTTTTCAAATTGTTTAAACTGGTCAGAATTTTCTGGGGCTAGCTGTTATTTGCTGGCATTGAGTCAGCTGGCCTCTGATTCATGGGGACCCCATGCACAACAAAACACAATATGGTCCAGTCTTGCATCATCCCCACAATTGGCAGTTAGATCTGCTTAATCTGGATCCATGGGACTTGTGACACTCAAAATTAATTTAATTCCACTTACACCTGGTGCCTCTAATCAAAATCTCTTTGATCAAGTGTAGGATTATTTCATTGCATTTGAAGTGGCTTGAATCAGTCAGAATTGGCTAGGCCCAGGCTCCTGGCTAGTAATTGGCACTCAAAGTCAAAGTTGATTCTCTTTCTCTTGGGTTACCATATCCACTGTTGTTAAATTTTCTTCCCTGGGGCTGTGTTCCCCATTGCTCTCCTTTCTGCTTTCACAAAGCATGCTGTACCTACCCCAGCACACCCTGGCTCTAGGGCAGAGAGTTTGTGTACTGCCACCACCTTCATTGTCCTATGCCTGCACCTGCACTTTCAAAACAACTCCTGTAGGCAGGCTTCTGCTGCAGTGATAAACAAACAGGCTGACTCATATTTAGGGAGAAGACCTATCTGCATCAGGATTGTACCCTTTCCCCACAATCTGTATGCTGCTCAAATAATCCAAGAAGCTAGACGATATGAAGAAGAACATGGCATCAGGATTGGAGGAAGACTCATTAAAGAACCTGAGACATGAGGATGACCCAAGCTTGCTTTCTGAAAGGGAAGAGGATTTGCAGAACCTATTGATGAAGATCAGCCTTCAGTATGGATTACACCTTAACATAAAGAAAACTAAAATCCTCACAACTGGACCAATATGCAACATCATGATAAATGGAAAAAAGATTGAAGTTGCCAAGGATTTCATTTTACTTGGATCCACAATCAATACCCCTGGAAGCAGCAGTCAAGAAATCAAACGATGTATTGCATTGGGCAAATCTGCTGCAAAAGACCTCTTTAAAGTGCTAAAGAGCAAAGACGTCACTTTGAAGACTAAGGTGCACCTGACTCAAGCCATGGCATTTACAATTGCCTCATATGTATGTGAGAGCTGGACAATGAATAAGGAAAATCAAAGAAGAATTGATGCATTTGAATTATGGTGTTGGCAAAGAATGTTGAATATATCATGAACTGCCAGAGCTCTGGTAGCATAATGCCTGAGGCACTTGACTGCTGGCCAGAAGGCTGGTGGTTCAAACCCACCAGCCACTCCTCGGAAGGAAGATGGGGCAATATATTTCCGTACTGATAGTGCCTTGGAAACCCAAGGAGGGGTCGCTATGAGTCGGGTCCAACTCGACGACACATAACATAACATAACATAACGTCAGAGAATAAACAAATCTCTCTTGGATGAAGTACGGCCAGAATGCTCCTTAGAAGCCAGGTTGGAGAGACTTCACCTCTCCTACTTTGTTCATGTTGTTAAGTGAGATCAGTCCCTGGAGAAGGATATCGTGGCTGGTAAAGTGGAGAGTCAGCAAAAAAGAGGAAGATCCTTTTTTTTTTTTTTTTGAAATGGATTGACAGTGTGGCTACAACAATGGGCTCAAGCACAGCAATGATTATGAGGAAGTCACAGGACTGGGCAGTGTTTTGTTCTATTGTACATAGGGTCCCTATTAGTCGGAACCACCTCTATGGCACCTAACAACAATCTGTGTCTGCAAGGAGCACCTGGTGGCACTGTGGTTATGTGCTCAGCTGCTAACCTAAATGTTGGTGGTGCGAACCCACCAGTCACACACTAGGAGAATGGTGTGATATCCTGCTTCTATAAAGACTTATAGCCTTGGAAACCTTATGGGGGCAGTTCTACTCTGACCTATAGGGTTGCTATGAGTCAGAATTGACTTGATGGCAGTGGTCAATGGGTTACCTGTGTCAGGATAGCCTCTTCAGATGCTTATGGACACCCTTCCTGGGAGAGAAGGGACAATTTCTCAGAGTCACTCTATTTCCTACCAGCTCTAAACACCTTCCTTTGAGTTTGAAGGATTTAGGATCATATTCTAAAAACAAACTCACTGCTGTCGAGCCAATTCAATTCACAGCGACCCCTCCTTGGGTTTCCGAGGCAGTATCACTACAGAAGTAGATTGTCCAGTCTTCCTTCCAAGGAGTGGCTGGTGGGTTTGAAATGCCAGCCTTCTGGTTAGTAGTCAAATGCCTTAGGCACTAGGCCACCAGAGCTCCCAGCACCATATTACCAAAACCAAACTCACTGCTGTCAAGTCAAATCTGATTCATAGAGACCCCTCCTTGGGTTTCTGAGGCGGTATCTCTACAGAAGTAGATTGCCCAATCTTCCTTCTGAAGAGTGGCTGGTGGGTTTGAACCACTAGCCTTCTGCTTAGCAGTCAAATGCCTCAGGCACTATGCCACCAGAGCTCCTAGCACCATATTAGGAGTCAAGAAACTTGGCTCTAGTAATTGTCCTGTCATTAATAAAGCTTCATAACTTTAGTTATGACCTTTTTGGAACAAAATCAGTTTGATTTTATCATTATTTACAGCAGGGAAATTTTCTTCTAATATAATGTTATCCTGAATAAGACAAGAATAAAAGTTGAATTGCCTTGGGTGTCAGGGGAGGGGCTTATCTCTTCCTCATGCTATTCTAACCCTAGTTAGAATTTGGAGAGTTCTTGTCCTTGTGTTCAGGCAGGACATGTGATTTGTGTGAATGAGTGCATGTGTGTGAGTGCGTGTGACCTTTAGAGGAGGGCTCCATCTACTCTATCATTACCTCACTTCCTTCTTCTGTGCCCTAGTTTACTGCACTTTTTTAACTGGCTCCCTGCTTCAGCCTCAGCACCATCCTGTTGCAGCCAGAATGATTGTTCCGAAATACAATGATGCTTGTGTCCCCGTGTTCCTCACTCCTCAAATGGCTCTGTTAAACTCAAGACAAGATTAATGTGGACTGCAAGGTCTACCTCGTCCCAGTTTATCTCTTGTTCTCAGCAGCCCCTCATGTTGCCTTTCACTTAGGCAGTCCTGGCAGCCTGGACCACTCTCCCTCCCACAATCACCACCCTGCTGCCCTACTGGCCTCAGTCTACACCGTCATCCCTCCACTAGATAATATCACTTCACCTGGTACCCAGTGATCAGTTTTGTTCATCATTATAAGGGGATCCATCTGGCGTGTCAGGGTGAGGTTGGGGGCCGGCCTTTCCCGAGGTGACCTCCACTTGGTACCCAAGGATCAGTCTTGCTGATCATTGCAAGAGGATGAGACCCATCTGAAGTCGCGGGGTGAGGTGGGGGGGCCAACCCTTCCCGAGGCGACCGCCAGGGGGCGGAAGGAGCGGCTCCAGATGACAGCGGGAGGCCGCGAGTCGGGGAGGGAGGAGGGACGGAGGGAGCGGGAACTTGGGCTCTCCGGATTGCAAACTCAGAGCCATAGCCTCCGCGCGCGCCCGAGCCGCTGGCCGCCCGCGCAGTCCGACAAGGAACTGGGTAGCAGCGGAGTCCGTGCAGGGCGGGCGCGGGGCGGCGGCGCTGCCCGGCGCCGAGAACCAGGCACGGGTGAGGCTAGGCGGCCGCCGGCCGCTCCCGGACGCGGACCGCCAGGTGAGCAGAGCCCGCCGCGCGTTCCGCGCGCCCTGCGCTGCCTGGCCGCTGCCGGCCTCGTGGGCTGTGGCTGGACGGCAGGCTGCCGGGCAGACGCGGGGCGACAGGGCGCAGTGGGTGTGTCCGGGGCGCCGCGGGGCTGCGCCGGCACTGGGCTCGGGGGAGCCAGCGCGCGCGCCGGGTCTGTGCCAACGGCTGTACCTCCTTCTCCCCTTCACGTCCCCTCTTGGGGGGTCCTGTCTCTGGCCTGGCCTCAGCACTCGCTCCCAACTCTCAAGGACATTCAGTTTCTGCGGCCCCGAGGCGGGGGCCCGCGTTCCCTGGGGCCGAGTCTGAGGGAGACTGGCGACTGCACATCCAGCCCGTGCGCCCCCCACCCCAGCTTTTCCTTCCTCCTGCCTGGGACCAGAGGTTGGTCGAGTCTCGGTTGCCGCTCTTCGAGCCCCAGCCTGGGGCCTCGGCCACGCAGTTTTCTAGAAAGCCGTGTGTCTGAGCTAAGCCTCTGCAGCCCGGCGCCTCTGGGAGTCGGAGTGGATGGGTTATTTCCGCCAACTCCTGACACTTCCCCAATTGCAGCGCAAGTACCTGCAGACCATTGGCGGACTTACAAAATTAGCTTTTCTAGAACTAGCTCGCCTCGGAAATTTAGCGATCTGAACTTTTTTTTTTTTCTTTGAAATGCCATCAGCCCTGACTTAGGAAAGAGATTTCGGGCGTTCTGAGGCCGTAACAGCCCAGTCAGTATCAGGAATTTGTGGGTTGAGTTTTCTAAGCAGTCCACACCTAGTACCGCGCCCCTAGCCTCCACTACCTCCTGTTAAGTGTGTGCTTGCGTCTCTTCCTGTCTGCCTCTTGACCCCCACCGCGCAGCGCTTTGCCCCTCTTGCAAGCAGTCAGTGAAATTCTGAAGCCTTGCATCTGTGTAGCTGAAGCACTTATTCGGCGCCTGTGAGAGAAATGGAGAACCGAGAAGAGTCTTAAGAAGTCATCTTTTCCAATTCTCATTTTACAGCTAGCGCCCCAGCACAGAAAAGTCTTAATGATTTTCAAAGGTCACACAGCTTTTACAACCTGCTTATGTCTTCTACTTAAATTGATATAGGTGATGCCCGTTGTTGGGCTTGTTGTTGTTGTTATGGGCCCTCGAGTGCTCTGGGACTCATAGCGATCCCTCCTTGGATTTCCAAGGAGGGATCGCTATGAGTCTACGAAAGTAGATTGCCTAACCTTCCTTCCGAGGAGTGGCTGGTGTGTTTGAACCGCCAACCTTCCTGTTAGCAGTCAAGTGCCTTAGGCACTACGCCACCAGAGTTCCCTCGGTAGAATCTACTGGATCTCAGGGAAAAAAGCAGCAAATATTTAAACATTTTAAAACATTAAATAATAATAATTCACCCAATTCCTCACTTGATTTGAGTCTACTCAACTCCTATAGATTTTTTTTTTTTTTTGGCATTACAGTTAAATTCCTTTAGAAAACAAAATCCTGGCCTTTAAATTAATGCAAGGAAGCAGACGGGAGTCCTGGGACTTTCCTATAAACCTTTGCGTGGCTGGAGCAGGGATTTCCCAGAGGTTCTTGCCTGGGAAATGAGTGTGGGTGATCAGGATGCTGGAGTCCTTACTGAATGAGCAACTGGCTTGGCATCTTGTAGGGAGAGCTGGCCAGTTGGGCTCACAAGGTCTTCTCCATGCCCAGCACTGGGCAGCGAGGGCACCAGTTTGGTCTTATCTTCTTTTACTCTCCCTTGCCATATTTCTAACTGGTTGTTAGGGAAAGAAAGAAAGAAAGAAACAACAACAACAACAAAAAAAGCCCAGAATTTGGGAGCAAAAGCAAGTTTGAAGATTTTGAGTTGGAATTCTTTTGCCTTGAAATACTTGTTGGGATTATGATCAGTTGTCCTAGAGTGAGGTCTCTGGTTGGTGCAGTTTGCACCCAGAGGTTGGTGGTTCAAACTCACCCAGCAGCACTATGAAAAAAAAAGGCCTGCTATTCTGTTACAGAAAGGTAACACCTGAGAAAACCCCATGGAGGAGCACTTGTACTCTGCAACACATAGTGGTATGTAAGTTGGAATTGACAGGACAGCAATGGGCTTTTTTTTTTTTTTTTTAAAAAAAAAAAGGAATCCCAGAGAGAGAGCCTAAGTATTGATCCTCTCCTCCTTCTCGAATCCCCACAGTTCTCTCCATGGCACCTAGTTTTCTAGCACTTTTCTCCTAATTGCTGCAAACTCAATTTTTGGGTACCCCCAACTTCCCCATTCTACCCCTTTCCTTCCCCCCAGTATCTATAGCTCATTCATCACAAAGTCCCTTCCACATTCTTGTGTGATAACTCAGGGGATTATTTTCCCTGTCTCCAGCTCCTCTGCCCCCACCTTAAACCATGTCCAAATTACAGTAATAAACCTCCCCCCTTGACTCCCCACCACAGGTCACTTTCTTCATTTTAATCCATCTTCTTTCATGCTGACAGATTAATATTTTTAAAATTCTGATTTCATCACATCATTCCTCTCAAGAAATCACAATGACTCCCCAGTATTCCATTCTGCTTAATTTTGTCCCAGCGTCCCAGTGATATTTTTGAGCATCTGTTGTGTGCCAGGGACTGTTATTATGTGCTGGGGCTTAAACTAGGAACAAAATGACATCCCTGCCCTCAAGAAGTTGACACGCAAGTGAAATGATAAATAACCATTTGGGAGGAAAATAAGTAAAGGAATAACCACAGCACAATAGGAGAGGGATGCAAAACATCAAGGAGACAGGAATGAGGGAGACATTTATTCTGCCTGGAAGGGGCTAGGAAAGTTACTGCAGGGCTTTGCAGCACAAGGGGGAGTTCAAGAGGATGGTAAGGGCAGGAGGAGAAATTGTGAGCAAAGAAAAGAGCTTGAGCAGAGACCTAGAGATGTGAAAGTGCTGGTAAACACAGACTGAGCCAAGGCCATTCTTCATCTAGGCTCTAGAGACTATAATCGAGTCTTCTTTGATCCAAGAGCAGCCCAACTCTTCTTTGCCTGAAACCCTTCATTCTACCCTATCGCTTTATAGACTTGTTGGCTCCACTAGCTATCTCCCCTGTTCAGAAATGCAGATTTTCCTTCTTTTCTACCAATCTAAAGCCACTCTGGTGGTGTGGTGGTTAAGGCATTTGGCTGCTAACCAAAAGACTGGTAGTTCAAACCCACCAGTGGCTCCATGGAATAAAGATGGGGCAGTCTGCTTCTGTAAAAATCTACAGCCTCAGAAACCCAATGAGAGTGGCTATGAGCTAGAACTGATGCAATGGTGGTAGGTTTGGTTTTGGTTCTCCCAATCTAAATTTTACCAGGAAGGGTGCCTTAGCCATTATAACACACATTCATCTTTCTTCTCTGAACCTTTGTCTTGTGTGCTGCATTTTTTACACTGACGATAAAGGAGCTCTAGTGGCGTAGTGAGTAAGACATTTGGCTGCTAAGTAGAAGCCAGTGGTTCAAAACCTACCAGGTGCTCTGCAGGGGGAAGAAGATGAAGCAATCTACTTCTATAAAGATTTAGAGCCTTGGAAACCCAATGAGGGTCACTATGAGTCAGAATCGATTTGATGGCAGTGGGTTTGGTTTTTGGTGTAGAGTTAGCCTGGACATGTCACAGTGAGCAAGCCCTGCCTCCCCAGACACTCTGAGGTTTCCCTAGGGCAACCTCCTTGGGCCTCCCCCATGTCATATGTAGCACAGTGCTGGCCATGTTAACAGCACCAACAGATCTGAAAACGTGACGTGATTGGGTGTGACCTCTGGTCCACTTCTCTCTCTTCTTCTCTCTTTTCCCACTTTCTATCTTTTCTTTCTTTTTTGATGCAAATTGTGACATTTATTTATATATGTTCAGATATGTAGGTTTCATAAGTATTCCTTGAATGTCCTCTCTGTGAAAATAATGGATTAGTAATGTTATGCTGGGTGTTTACAATGACTCAGACTTTAGGCTGCTTTTGCTTGACCCCTTCAATTCTACCCCTTTTCACTTTTTCCCTCTGCAGGATCTGTGTCCTGATGCTAGGACACCCCCTCACCTTTTGTTCTGGCCTATACCTTCCACCTCTTCTTCCCCACCCTTCAAAACTGAATTCCCTTGTGCCCATGGGCTCGCTGGTGTGTTAAACTCATTTAGGCCACATTTATCAAGCCCTGCTGTGTGTCATGCTTGGTGATCTCGGTGATTGTTTCTTATTTAATCTTTCCATCAACCTGTGAAATAAGCATTGTTATCTACATTTTCAAAGAAGAAAATGAAAGCTTACCCCAGTTAAGCAACTTCTAGAAGTCAAGCAACTTGCCAGAAGTCGACAACTTAGGTTTTCAACCCAGATCTTAGAAACCCAATCTCTAAGCCTGGTGCTTTCTCCATTATACCACTGTTCCCTGAAAGGGTTGTCTTTGGGACATCAGAATCAGAATTATCCTTGGGAGCTCTGGTAACATAGTGCCTAAGGCATTTGACTGCTAACCAGAAGGCTGGTGGTTCAAACCCACCAGCCACTCCTTTGAAGGAAGACTGGGCAATCTACTTCGGTAGAGATACCACCTCCGAAGCCCAAGGAAAGGTCACTATCAGTCCAATCGACTCAACAGCAGTGAGTTAGTCTTGTGGAGGTAAAAAAAAATCAGATTCTAAGGTGGAGGCGAGGCCTGGGAATTAGCATTCTGCAAGGCCACCTTAGGTGATTCTTGCCTTAGGCTGCCTTTACAGTGAGATTCCAGTGACAGATAGTAAGTTAACAAGCCACCTACTTTAGCACCTTCCTTATAACACAGGCCTTGACCTTAAGGAATAGTTGACAGTTGTGGCCTAGGCCAGAAGAAGCAGTCTCTTTTGGTCAAAGAGGTCTTTGTAGTTCATTCTTGAAAGCATTCCTCTATGTGAAGGCATGTAAACCCAGCCCCCACTGGGCTCCCCTTGAATTCCTTTCTGGGCCAAAGCAAGTGCTGAGGGAGAAGAAATCAGGTGGGTTGATTCAGGGAGCCCCAAGTTGCCAGGGAGTTGCTGGGTGATGGAGATGGTTAACATGATTCTTGTTGTTGTTATGTGCCGTTGAGTCGGACCCGACTCATAGCGACCCCTCCTTGGGTTTCTGAGGCAGTGTCACTACGGAAGTAGATTGCCCCATCTTCCTTCCGAGGAGTGGCTGGTGGGTTTGAACTGCCAGCC